CTCTCATATTCTCTGTTGGATTGTATTTAGTAGTGAAATATGATGATATTTCTTGTATTTAGCAGGATAGTTTAAGATTATAGTAAGAAATTTCACAATTGTCCCATGTATTAAAGCTATGGATTGTATATAAATATGGAGTAAAACTTAAGTGATTTCATGGTTTTCCATTGTTCTGTTTTGATATAGCAAATATCTTTGTGATTATATACTTTTTCCTGTATAGAATTCCAATAGTGGTAGTGTTGGTTTTTCTCATAGATTAATATTTTGTATAATTTAGAGGCACACCCTGATGCTATTGGAGAGAATGGTTTGGCAACTCCAGAAGCATATGCTAGTGATCTGGCTTACTTGAAGAAAAAAGTAATTTCTCCCCTTTTTATCTTCAATGATAGTGTCTTTAGATTGGTTTACGTGGATAAACGCAATGCATTAAGTTTATGGTTAGTGATCTTGTTCTGCAATTATGCTTGTGCTTACACTGGTTTTCTGCAAATGGTTTAGGTTGATGCTGGTGCTGATCTTATCGTCACACAGCTGTTTTATGACACTGATATCTTTCTGAAGTTTGTTAATGATTGCCGCCAAATTGGAATCAATTGCCCAATTGTTCCTGGCATTATGCCCATTAATAACTACAGAGGATTTATAAGAATGACTGGTTTCTGTAAAACCAAGGTATAGGATTTTTTTTACTTTCTGTTAGATACAGATAATGGCATTTCTATTTGACGCTTTAATTTGATTCTGGGATTTGGAATATCTATTACTTTTTATTCTGACTGTTACTTCATGCTCTGAACTAACTTGCATGATTTTGGCTGGAAAAACATTGTAGATTCCTCAAGAGATCACTGATGCATTGGAGCCCATCAAGGACAATGACGAAGCAGTGAAAGCCTATGGTATTCATCTTGGAACTGAAATGTGCAAGAAGATTTTGGCTAGTGGAATCAAACAGCTACATCTCTATACCTTGAATATGGACAAGTCTGCACTAGGAATATTGCTGGTAGCTTCTCACATCCTACTCCATGTAAATATGTAATGGATTGTTTACTTGTGATTTGTTGATTTATATTTCATAATACAACTGCTGCAGAATCTTGGATTGGTTGAGGAGTCCAAAATTCAAAGGCCATTACCTTGGAAAAGGCCAGCTAATGTTAATCGCATTAAGGAAGATGTCCGGCCCATTTTTTGGTATGTGCAATGCTTTATATTGTGAAATTATCTTGAAGGGTAACTATTTTAATGAGAAATAGATTTCCTATCTTAAAAATCTATATCTGATGATATTAATTTGTTTGGCATTCTTGCTAATTGGATACAGGGCTAACCGTCCAAAAAGCTACATCACCCGTACTAAGGGATGGGATCAATACCCACAAGGGCGATGGGGTGATGCTCGTAATGCTTCTTATGGAGCATTAAGTGACCATCAGGTAGCTTGATAAGCCTTCCTCTGCATTCTGTTTATGGCAAATATCTTTTCAATGTTGCTGAAATTAGCATACACTAGTATATTTGAATATGTAACTATTGAGTAAGCTTACATGAGTGGTACAAAATAATCTCATGTTCTAAGCTGGGGAATACTCCCTCCGCTGACAACTATATCATTTCCTGGTTACTATTATAGAAGTCATGTACTGTGGTTTGTTGAGGATGGAGTGTGGACAAAATTGTAACATGGGCCTCAACCTATCGCTAGCCATATAACTTATCCATTCTGCGGGACACAGAATATGTGTAGCCACTATCTTCTTAGAAACACCCTTCTATGGTATGAAAGTATCAGGAAGGACTATGTATCCTTTTACATTAAGGTCTTCCACCAAGAAGTGAAGAAGCCTTCACTTTGATTTGCCAGACTGCCAACCTCATCTGTTGAGATGTTATTTTCTGTTACATGTTCAGATTGCCTCCTGTTTGTCTTATGCTTGCTCGGATTATATACTAGATCATGTTGAATGTAAACACTTTTGCCAATCATATTCATGATCTTGCTATGTAAGTTCTAGATAATATTTGTGATGTAACTGAATAGAGTTACGCTCATAAGAAAAATTAATTATTGACTGATGCTTTATGCTTGCTGCTTTATCACTGCCTGGATAATTCGTCCTTGGAAGTTATAATTTTTTTCTGAATCCTTAATTATGTGGGGTGGCCAGATTATATCTGCAATTAATTCTTCCATGTTGGTTTCATATTCTTTTATGTGCCCTAGTAACATGTAAAAGTTTCTTTGTGATTGCTTCCTCTTGGACATGTCTAGGAAAGTCTTGAGCTTGTCTTATCATGAGATTGAATATCGGCACCTCCACTTAACTATCATTAAATTTCTGCAGTTGAGACTTTGAGATGTCTCTCCAAACATGTCCGTAATGTTTGTTACTTAAAAATAATTGGCCACATTATGCTTCTCTGATTTCATTGACAGTTTATGAGGCCACGTTCACGTGATAAGAAGCTGCAAGAAGAATGGGCTGTTCCACTCAAAAGCATTGAAGATATAAATGAGGTTAGACTTCTATTATTGCCGACTTGCTGAAAAAATTGGTGGAATGTTGATTAACATTTTTATGGGGCCTGATGTTTTCTTTGTTATTTCAGATATTCAAGAACTTTTGCCTTGGTAAGCTGAAAAGCAATCCTTGGTCTGAAATAGATGGTCTTCAGCCAGAAACTAAGATCATAGATGAACAATTGAGCAACATTAATAAGAAGGGCTTCCTCACTATCAACAGCCAACCTGCAGTTAATGGAGAAAGATCAGACTCCCCTACTGTTGGTAAGTTTCTAAATACCTGCAGATGTTCACTTTTAGTGGGAACCCTTCTGTAATTTTATGCTTAACTCTGTTAAATTCCCAGATGTAATTAGTCGACTGATGAATTTTTACCATCTAGCTGTGTGATCAGTATGAAATTCATCTGCAATATTGTGTTGATGGAAAGTAAATATATAAAGAGAATATACTTGTTTAGAAATATTCCTGCAGCAGTCCATCTGTGTATAGCTTGCTGGCTCATGTCTATTGGTGTTTCTTAATCTAATTTTGTTTTCTTTGATATTCTGGATTTGAGGTCAAAATTACCCTATTAGTATTGTAGCCATGTTATCTGCTTTTCATGTGCTGCCTTCCCCTGGCATCTTGTTGCTGTTACTGAGGAATGTTTACCAATAGTCCAATATGTCTCTTTTCCTCGGCTTAATAAAGATATTTCCTCGTACTCTCTAGACTACTTTGTTGACCGGAACTAAGGATGAGGATCACAGTGCTTGACTGATATTGTAAAATGCCAATATTTTTAGTGGTTTCAAATTTCAACTTTCAATGTTTTCCTCTGTGATTAACTGTGCCATGTACTACCTATTATTCCATCATACATGAATCTTTGCTTTGTCTGAATACTTGTATTGAATTAGCTACATTGCTAAGATAAAATGCCTAAATTAAATGATCATTTTTCGTGTAGGATGGGGTGGGCCTGGTGGATATGTATACCAGAAGGCTTACGTGGAATTCTTTTGCTCAAGGGAGAAGTTGAATGCACTTGTTGAAAAATGCAAAGGCCTCTCACATATAACTTACATGTCGGTTAACAAAGGAGGAGATTGGATCTCAAATGTTGGTCAAACTGACGTGAATGCTGTGACATGGGGTGCATTTCCTGCAAAGGAGATTATACAACCAACCGTTGTGGATCCTGCTAGCTTTATGATCTGGAAAGACGAGGCATTTGAAATCTGGTCAAGATCATGGGCTCAATTGTATCCTGAGGGAGACTCATCCAAGAAATTGCTTGAAGAGGTTTGTGCCTTTGTACATTTTTTCCCCTTGTTAAGTTAGCTTCTATTTCTGAAAGACTACACTTTGCTGTAGAATTGCATCACTTTGGTCTGACTATTTGTTACTTATACAGGTTCAAAACAGCTACTACTTGGTCAGCTTGGTCGACAATGATTACGTCAGTGGTGATCTGTTTTCTGTTTTCGCTACTCTTTGAGATAAGAGTGCTCCTACATTATTTCTCTATTTGCTTAATATTGTATCCAATTGGGCATGAACTTAGTCCATTCCCAGTGTTGCCATTAGATTTAGTTGAGCTTGTAATACCATAATCTTGTGGGATTTTGCGATCTCCCAAGCCTCCCAATGCAAATTGCATGGTGAGTTTCATCTGCTTATTGCGCCTTCTGTACCATTTGATTTGAAATATGTAAGCATTTGCTTCTGGTTCTGCAATATTATTCATATAGCTGGGTAATCTCGCTAGACGTTGGATAGGCTGATCCGCTGATGTTGTGAGCAATATGGATGAAATGTACTGTACAACTTATAGTACTACAAGTTTAAGCATCACCCCCATTCAATAGCTTTTCAAGGAAGGTCATTTCAGAAATAGTGTTCTTCACGTTTTGATAACAAACGAGCCTTTTCCAGTTTCCCGTCTTCAATTCTGCTTTCATGGTTATGCTTGAATTCCAGCATCGAACTCATAAATAAATTCATAACTATAAAATGCGACAATGTATAAGCAGGTATATCTATTAACTGAATCTATTGTCGATTACAGGGATTGGTTGATGGTGTTCGTTCTCATCAAATGTACTTCATATAGCGTATCAAGAATACTGATGAGTAATATTTTGAACAGATTCCTTCAATGGACTCCTAACCAAATATGACCTACTAAAGTGAAATGGATGGAGTATTGATAATTAAAACCTATTAAATGGACAAAATTGTCCATAAAATAAGTAAAGATTGATATAGGAGTAACATGTAAGCAATATATTCTTACTCCTAAAGCAACTCAAGAATACTTTTTCATTGGGGATTTCTGTGACCACTTGAAAGTTGTCAAATACTTCAGGGACATTTTTATCTGTACAAAATCATGCTTAAGAAGCAAACATGGGCAGCGACAATATCATGCAGCACAATTTGGCGTAATACATAAACAGAATACTCTTGTAGTAAATCATCAAAGAAAGGCAAAGGATTAAATTTCGCAAATTATATAAATCTGTACAGTGTACATTACAAATGGACTTAGTGTCCTAAAATGGCACAACTCATTTTGATTTGGAAAGTAATCGCCCAACAGTTACAAGTACTGAATTATGCAAAATTTTGTCATGGTTAACGAACAAAATTGAAAGAATAGGATTAAGACATCAGCCGGGTGTAGGTTTCATTAAGATATATTCGCATCTTTTAGGGATTTGGAAACCACAAGACCTGCAGAAGTCCTCATGTAATGCCCATCAAGCATTGCAATACAAGCAGCATCAGTCTTGAGATGGGGCTGAACTAATTCCCAGATTTTTTTCTTCTGAATCTGAATTTGACCAAAAAAAAAAATGAGATATACACAAGGAATACAGCAGCATAGTTTAATATTCAAATCACCAAAGCCTACTTCGGGTTCCTCTCTCTTTCAAATCTCAAAAGGGTATATGACAAACAAAATAAAGTTCACTCACAGGCCGCAAATAATTTCCTCTGCCAGTAGCCCAGTAGGCATTAAATTGTAGGATCAGCTAAAGCGATGGTGGCTGTAGTCCTGTAGACATCATGCCTTTCTTTGACTAAGGATATAGAGAATGCCTTTCAATGCACGAGTTTTTCAGGTAGGAAAAATAGGTATTATTTAAATGACATGAAAGAAGTTGTAAATAAAGGACAAGGTGCCCCCTAGGATGAACAAGGTCCTATAAGAAAAACAGTTAAACCATCCAAAAAGCCAGCAGAATTAAGGCAAGGACAATATAAAAAATTGCATTTGACACCATTAATGGTAATTGTAAGACGGTAAGACCACAGCCCTTCTGAATATCTAGTTTGCAATATGAAGATGGCAAGTCATGCAATGCAGTGATGGGGGTAGAACCACTCTAGAGGATCTTTATAGCTACTAGGATTAATACTTTCAATTATAAGCAGGTCCAAAACTTTTTGTACAGCTACATTCACTGCTTACTTGAAACTGAAATGTTAGGTAAAACATGAACCGCAGTAGAGTCCCAAATGTTGTCACTTCTCACTTCATCTTCAATCCCAGAATTGAAGCACACACACACACTAGTATTGTATTTCCTATCCAATTTCTATTTCAAAAGTAACAACTTCAAAAGATACTATTAGTACCAAAATGTCCAGCAATGCTAGGATGTATATTACATATTCCTCTAAATCTCTAACTCAAGCACCTGGCGTCCTGGCCTAGCTTTTAATATTGCTAGGATGGGTATTAAACTTCAGTCAAGGGGGGATGATTAGCCGAAAATTAAGCAGAAACTTCATACCTGATTAGCAGTGGCAGCAGCAGTTTGATTTTCCTTTTCCTCTTCTGAGCCAAACCAGATTCTTTCACCAGGAACTGAATCCTCGGGAGGTACAAGGAGCTCTACATTCTCATGTGACGCATCAGAAGCAGCCATAAGCATACCATTTGACTTGATGCCACGCATGTTTCTTGGTTTTAGATTGGCAAGTACAAGCACCTTTTTGTCCTGCATTTTTGCAAATATTAAACCTTTGATACCTGGGAAGGTTACAAATGCTCAATATACAGTAAAGACCTTAATAAGCAGGAAACGCATGAGAGGAGATTCCCTCATATCATACTATTCAGAAAACTATTAAAAAGAAAAAAAAGAAAATCAAACAGTTAAATAATTTCTTTCTTGGTAAATGCACCAAACAGCATTCAAAAGAAGTATGCTCCTTATCCTGAAGAAAACAAATGCATAGCATAATTAGAAGCCATATAAGCAACGCTGCAAGATCATCCCCATCATTCTCGATTCCTCGAAATAATGAGATCTCTCTCAACATTGAGGTTATCCGCCTTGGATGCGATAAGGGTCCTGAGGAGAGGGGGGGGGGGGGTCATAGGTATGTAGCCTTGTCCTATGATAACAAAGGCTGAACTCTTCACCTCTTGATTTGATATACCATGTTTGTCAACTAATGTACAATAGATAAGAACTACGGGAAGTGTAATGAGAAAATTAAATTTGGTTCTATATAATCAAAGAGCCAAAATTACTTCGACTACATTGAGAAAACAATGAAAATTTCCTTTAATTTGATGACCCTTCTAGCCACAATAGTATCCTAGGCCTTCCTTATATTTCTTACGCTTCACCTACTATTGTATTTTCTTTCCCCCACTATAATTCCTACCATTAAACTACCTCATAGTTTAACATTGATAGTATTTTTTTTATTGTGTCATCATTGATTAACAATAATAAAATCATCATTATTAATATGGTTATAGTTACTTTGTACAAAGTATTTTCTTGATTATTTTTTAGATTAAATATTGTGATAGGTGATAGCTACCTTTTTTTATGTAGTAAACAATGAGAGATGTTCGAAATGTAGATGTATAAAAATTATTGTGAAAAAGAGATGATGGGTGTGGGAGTAAAGAGAATGAAGACACAAGTATAGTAAAATATGTCACTATTTTAAGAAGATGACAGTTAAAAGCCATTGTTATATTATGAAATTAAAGTTGTTTGATCAAAATTCAGCCATTCAAAATAAATGTATTTTGCTGGGAGAAGAATTTAGTGAAATCCGACATTTGCCAATCAGCTTTAACTGGCAGTACCTTAAATCATTTTGGATGAAAGTATCACTCCGATTTGGCACACAATATACCATAAACCAGTCTCTCCAGTGTTAAATCCACATCATAAAACGATCATTTTGATCATTTTTTTTTTTTTTTTTTTTTTTCACATTCTCTAAGACAACAAGAGTTCAACCTCTTGTCAAAACAAAGCTTCTCCTAATTAAATTGAAATTTTAGTTTGGGATAGCCAAGGATGCTATCTTTGGCAAACATTAAATAACAATTCCATTGTTGTGAAACAATCAAAGTCTTCAAACCACCCTCTCCAATCATAAAGCCAAATAAACAAGAAGATGCAATCTTCAACCCAAAAAAAATCATAAATCTCATTGTAAATCAACAAAATCATGGAATCAAAGTAGCATTATATACTTTTACTTCCTTAGCCAAGCTTGGGCATAATAGTAGAAGCAAGTGCACCTATCAGTAGCATAGCAGAAAGGTGTTCCATGCCAAGTCATTAATATGTCTCATGTTTTCTTGCAGTTACTGTAGCCTCTCAGGAATGTCAACAACTGAATCTTCAATGCATTGCTAGTACATCCAAGAAATCTAAATTGGCTAGTTGTAAATGGCACCAAGTTTTTCGAAAGAAATGATTATCTTAAACGTATACCCAAGGTATTTGGAAATTGGCCAAGATTTTCGAATAGCAAGAACACATGATGGCCTAATCTTAAGGTCTGTTCTATACTTCTGTTCAACCAATTTTTGTTTAAACTTACTTGTACATACTTATTTTGTCTGGAATACGTCGAAAACTGTCAAGCAGAGAATAACACCTTAAGAACAAAGGCGCAAAGTGAGCCCCTTCATTTCCAATCAAAGCATTAACAATGCATCAATAACAGTCATAGCTCTACCTTATCTTCTATTTCATCTCTACTAGAACAATTAAAAACAAATAATACTACATTACTACTCAGTACTTATGATTCCAACAATAATGTCGATGCCAACAAGCTTAGATACCGGATTAAATCCCGTCTACGTCATTTATTCTTTATAGCTCTCTCTAATCTCTACACCCAAAAACAATCCAAGATAATTACAACCAACTAAAAGCAATCAACAAAAAAAAAACACAAATAATCCACACTACACCACAAATCAATCCATAACCCCAAAACACAAGAAAAAAAAAGCTCAATTTCATCAATAGTGAAAGAAGAAATGATATACCTGAAGTTGATCAATGGGAACATACTTAACAAGCCCACTACAAATTGTCCTAGGCTCATCTTCCCCAACATCAACTTCCTCCACATACAATGAATCAGCATCAGGATGCTGCCACGCCTTCACCACCTTCCCTACCCTTATATCCAACATATTCGCCGCCTCTTTCACGGCCGCCATGTCCGGAACAGGCGGCTCCGATTGAGGAGGAGAACCCGAATCGACAGCGGCCGAAGTGGAAGTTGAAGACAAAGTTGAAGCATCTGATGAAGTGCAAAGGAAGCGGAAATGGCGGGGTGGAGTAGAAGGGGATGGAGTGAAGGGGAGATGAGAGATTGAGGAGAGAGAAGGGAATGTGGAGGTGGGTTTGGTGTTGAGAGAAGGGAGGAGAGAGAATGGAAGAAAACGAGGAGGGATGAAGTTATGGTGGTTATGGCGGTAGAAGAGAATTGTTCCTCTTGCTTTCAACAAATGGTTTGCATTTGCTGCTGCCATTTTTTGTTTCTTTGATTTGATTGTGTTTTGGTCTTCTCCTTTGTGTTTGTATTTGTATCCGATAAAGAAATAAGAGCTGAGGGTGATATGGGAACAGAAAATTGAAAATGATTAAAAGAGAAAAACCATAATATGTTGTGATTGGTTCGGAAATATGTGGAGAACGGTTTAAGGCTAAATCGTGTTAGAAAGGACGAAGTTTGCCCAAACCTAAAACTTAGAGAAGGAGGAGGTATTTAAGTGTTTGTCTCAAAAGTTCGCCTAGACCTAGGTGGAGTTTGCGCGAACCCAGGAGGGGTTCTTGCGAACTTCTGCCCTTTGTTACGTGCGAAACATGTCTATGTCATGGAATTTTCTTGTTTATTTGATTAGATTTTATGACTTGCACTATATATACTCATGTTAGTCATTGTATTATGGTAAGAAAAAGGAAGATTTATAGATTGTTTTAGGGAGAGAATATCTCAATTGTATAGCCCAAATAGTTAGGGTTTAATTATGAGAGAAGGTGGGAGATTTAATGATATAATTGAAGCTTGTAATCTCCATCATTCTTCATCAACTTACTACTCTATAGTGAATTGGTGGGTTTTTCTCCCAGTTCTTAGGTTTCCCACGATAAATCCATGCTTGTCTTTTCTTCATGCTTGGTTGTTACAAAACCGTCTTCATAAATTAGTTCCTCTTTCACGCTGTTTGATTTGCTTTACGAAAAACAGTAACGAAGTGGAAATGATTCAAGTTTGTTCAAATCCACATTAGTATCAGTTTTGATATAAATCTCCTATGGATCACGCAAAACTTAGTTTATAAGTTTTATCACCATAAGGTTAACTCCCTCAACAATGAGCAAAACCCAATTAATATCCTATATTAACAAAAACATGTTTATATCACCAATTTTTCTCTCTCCTCCCCTCACATGGACCTTATTTTCTTCTCTCTCCTCCATTCCCATGGTCACTATTTCCTTCTCTCTCCTCCCCTCCCATAGCCATGCCAAAGATCGACCACCTTCGCGGCTCTAATTGGGCCCATACTAACCCCTTAGGGAAAGAAATTCGCTCGTGCTGGTGGTGTTCACAGTGGTGCGGCAGTCGAATGGTGGTGTTATTGGTCATGCGATGGTCGGCTAGTGAAGCTAATGGTGGTGCGGTGGTGATAGAGGGGAGAGAAAGGGGTTGTGGCTGCTAAATTTCCAAATTTCCCCTTGGTGTGGTTGCTAAATTTACAAAATTACCCTTGATATTAACAAGTTTTGTTAATATAGGATATTAACCTGTATTTTCTCCTCAACAATCAAGTCTCTTGCCTCAACAAAGAGAACAACCTTGTTCCTTATCGCAATGCCATGATTCATAGTATTCACCACTATTAGGATATCTCCCTCAACAATCAAGTTTCTTGCCCCAACAAAGAGAGTGCCCTTTATTACTTCTCAAAATGTGATGGTTTCATCTCTTTTCCTTTGTTTTCTGTCTTTGAAATAAGAACTATTGTTCATGAAATTACAGTGATTAAACTCTCTCGGCTTACATTTAATGAAACACTACCAGGAATGGCAGGAACAGGGTAGGCATTGAACTTGAAACGAGCATGCTTCCAAGTGAGCAACTTCCGCTGCATACTGTAAGCATGTATCTGAAAAGCTTGTGCCATATTTTGAACTAGCAGAGAAAGATCTGACCAGGTTCACAATTTATCCTTATTTATTTAACAAGGCAAGATCTCATAGCAATTATCTGGAAGATGAAGATACTAATGATATCACAAAATAATACTGTATGTTTTTAAATTAGAGGAAGGCTCTATTATCATAATATAGTTTGCAGATCTTTCCTTCAGTGTTAATTTCTCTTTAAAAGGGGGCAAAGCAGAAGTGAAGCCCGAGGAATCGAATGCAACTTCCTGGGAGGAAAAGGAGAGGATTTCATGCACGTGCGAGAAGAGCCAAGGACTCCCTGAAACGTTCCTCAAAAAAAAAAGTACTCCCTGAAATGAGATCCTTTTGCCATTTCCTATTAAATAAATTATCAACTCCAAAAGTCCAAAGGTATCCAATTTACCATACAAGCTGATGGAAAGGTACCCAAAAAACCAGAGACTGCATACATTTCCACCAGTAAACTATAACCTTAAAACGCTTCTTTGGAGACATGTATCAACAAGGAACAAAACAGCTGGGGAGTATGAAGTCACTAAAAAATGTAAAATCTGAAAGACTAGTATACAGCCAGCATCCAGCTCCAATAAGTCTTGTGAGGCTAATAATCATCACCTCTTGATACAACTTCTTTGCAAGTAGGACGAAGTAAGATTGTATGTTCAAATTGAGACACATAACTTCCCTTCACATCACACAGAGGGGGGTACGGCTGCAAAAATGTAGGATTCTCATATAAGGTTTTCCACAAGATAGAACAGTACATAAATAAAATGAAATTAAACGAGGAAATAATATTTGACTAAAAATAACCACAAAATGTACAAGGGGATTAAGAGCAGGAAACAACCAAGTAGTTCTCTTCAATGAACATTGATTTAAACTCATGTCTGCTTGTCGTATTCAATATTTTGGTTTCGGTTCATAAATTTACTCAACCAAACCCACAATTGAAATTAGATTGGCCAGGTGAGCTTCAATCAAAACCATTTATACATACATGATTAGACCATACGATTTAAGGGAAAAAAGTTGAAAATTATTCTGCCTCTCAAATTTGAATTACTGGGTTTTGTATGAATTACTCAACAAAACAAAGTTAAATTAAAGCAAACATGGACAGATTTGATCATAATTATTTCTCGTGCTAGTGATAACATGTAACTTGAGACTTCCACAAACTCCAAAGTTAACAGTATAAGTGTATAACACATACTGCCAAACATGATGAGCAATACTTTTCAAAAACAATTGAGGGTATAAGCAATTTGTTACCTGAACAATTCCAGCATCACACAAATTCTTTAGTCCCATCAAGTATTTAGTCTCCCCAAGGCGATCCAAATATCGCCTGCAGAAAGCTAGCGTAGAGAAGTTTTTATCAATTGTTGCCAATAGTTGCTTTGCTCTAGGTAGCCGCAATGGGACGTGCCCAATATCAAAGTTTTTCATGTAGTGGCTGCACTCCAGATCTTCTCGGACATACCCTTTACCTGTATGCAGCAGATGAGCAAACATTATGCTACTACCACTGATTATCTAGAATCTAGCCCAATTCCACCTCACAAGCTTATACCAAGTTCTCAAAAGCAAATGAATCCTGTAGGTATGGGAATGCTACCTGTCGATCCAAATGTTTCAATAGCATAAAATTCACCCTCCTCCATCTTTGTCTGCTCACCACCCTTCACAATAGGGACAGACTTTCCAGCATGGATCTGATACTGGCCAATGCTATGTCCATTCAGGTTCCGAATGCTTTTAACTGCAAGTTAAGACATAACTTTCAAAACTCATGGAGAAAACACAATGTGCAAGGCCCCGCAACTATATACTTTTCTCAGATTACTTCATAGAACATCAGAAAATCAAATGGTCACACAAACTGACTGAGATTACAAATGACACAAAAATACAATGCAAAGTACCATCACGATGTGTGAGCTAATCCAAGACCAGTTGAACTGACAATGATTAAGCCATGAGACTCTGGAGTCAACAACTACAGCAAAGAGTTTATTAATGGCACCACTAGACAACTTATTAAGAAACAAAGCAGCTAGAGAGAAGTAGAAACTAATCCCTCCGGGTTTTTTTTTTAAATGACGCACTAGCTTCTGCTCGGAGTGTTAGGAGATTTATATAGGGTGTATAGGTAGAGTAAATTGTTGGAGAATTAAATATTAGAATGTGAGAGGAGAGAAATAATAAAGTATGGGGACATGAGGAGAGAAAAATAATAAAGTATGCAGTATTGGGGAGTCGGGAACCAAGATAGAGAGATAATATAATTAGAAGTAGCAGAATGTTTCCAAAGGGAAGTGTGTCCCTTAAAAAAACAGAGGTTTAAGAAAAGTGTTTCACTTTTAAAAAAAAATGGAGGGAGCATATTTTAAGATCCATTGTTGGTCACAGGCTCACAGCTGGCCCATATATATATATATATATATATATATATATATATATATATATATATATATATATATATATATATATATATATATATATATATATATATATATATATATATTTCCAACTCTATATTGGCCTAAACAGAATGATAACATAAAGAAAAACCCACCTAAAATGGGAAGGTAGCCAACTAGCCATTAAGAGGAGCATAATGAAAAAATACGAAGCAAGAGCAATAAAAGCAATGAAAAGATTCACATCAAACATGTACACCTCAAAACTTCATCTCACCTTGATAAACTTTGCCATTAATTTCAACCTCATATGACTCCATCACTTCTTGGATAGCAGCCCCAATATCACAAAGGCGTACATCAATTCCAGCTTCCTAGTATATAGCACAAACAATAGTTTGAAATTCCATTTTATTCTCAAAATGCTCACAAACATCAACTTTTTGTAAATATCTAATACATACTTCCTTCGTTTTTTTTAGTTGTTCCATTTAACTATTGACATTATTCATCCACTTCACTTTGACCATCAGTTGCTAATTATACATAATGAAAAACAAAGTTAATTTGATTTCTTTAGGTTCGTCTTGATATATATTTTCAAATATATACTTCCTTCATCCCTTTTTAGTTGACACAGTTTGACCGACACAAAGTTTTAAGCATATAAGTTGACTTTAGTCCCTCTGTCCCACATTATTTTTTTACACTTTCCTTGTTTATTTGTCTCGAATTAGTTTTTACACTTTTATTTTTCAAGAGACCCTAGTATTATTTAATACATATGTCTTTCCACAACCAAAAAGTGAGGGTCCTACACCCTTTCAAATTCAATTATAAAATATACTTCACTATCTCCTATCACATCTACTTTTTATTAATATAATACCCATTATCACCTTTCAAATCTACTTTTGCAATAATATAACAATTGATAACAAACAGCTTATCATCTAAAACTATGTGTCATGATATGTGTACAAACTAATTTGGGACGAAAGGAGTAGTAATATTTTATTATCTCAAATTTGATACTGGGGTAATATTTTAATGTCAATAGTGGGTTATGGGGACCATTACTTTTGTTGGTGAGAGGGGAAG